GATATTTCAATTAAAATGCATAAGTAAAAATATTTATCCGAGTATAATACTACCCCCCAACTTTATGGATGATTTCATGGATTAAATTTTACGTATTACACTTAAATAAATACGGTAAGTTGCAGAATTTGTTGGAGTGAGCCCTATTGCCATCTCCAAAGTGAGGACCAAGTTCCATTTAAAGGAGGATGTCAGAGACAGGCTGCAAAACGGGCCTCCCAAGAACAAGAGGCAGTGTGTAACCAGGCATTTGTAGAAAGTGCCAGGCTGATGCTCCCAAAATTACCAATATGTCTTATTTCTTCAAACTTCAACCATCCAGTCCACAAAATCAGTCAATGCAGAATAAACTTTTTGGCAGAGAGGATTCGGCAATTTTTTCATTTGCAAAACCCACTCAGCTCTACATCCCACGTGTATGCATGTTCCTTACAAATGTGGCACCATTTGAAAGGGAAATTAACAGTCTTTCCAACAATATACAATGTATTGCCAAGAAGTACTGTTACAACAAAGAAATAATCTATCAAACACAAATGTCCTTACTTTTTGTGCTAAATAACTATAACCAATGAATGATGATAAGTCAACACCTTAGCAACCCAAGATTTTCACCCAGAGGCACCACTTTTAAAGGTTGCTGGTTTGATGACTTCAAATGGACAAGAGTCAGCAGGAGGGTTGTTCAAAAAGACTCAGACTGCTTTCKAAAAAGGCCAGAGGGTCAGGCTCAGATGGAAACATTGTGACAACTTCTATTGGTGCAATCTACTGCAAAACAATGAAACAACTCTTAAATCCCTCTTAAGAAAAGTCCTCATAAGTTTTATTTTAGACCAATCTTTTCTTCCAGCTAAAAAATGACCAAAAATATAGAAAATATTGGAAAGTTCCAAACAGGGACATTTATTTATCAAGCTTGTGCAAATGATTGCCCCTCTACTCTCGAGTAAGTTATTAATCAGCAGCAGGCAGACACAATCAGTCACTCAGCTTTAACAATCTCTCTTGAGCCTTGGGGGTGAATCCTGCACGCTTTACCTTTGACGTTCACCGTAAATGTTCTGACACACTGACGTCTATATAGTACTATGATTTATATAATCGTAACACTCTTTAATTATGATTAATAAACAGTCACGCTCTACTTGCAGCCATTTACGGCTCAGCACATGGTGGACTTTTAGTTACCCTTTTAGTTGTTTCCTGCAAGTACAACTCAAGCTGCCAAATCAATACTGATACATTTATGGATGTYTATTTTATAAACTATGGCTGTCTTATTAAATCAACACCAGTTGAGGGTTTTAGTGGCTTCAGAGGCAGAGAGGTTTCAGCTATACTTAGACTGATAAATGTTCAYAGTGTAGAACAGAATTATTTAACCCAGAGTTAAACCCAAAGCGTGCACAACTGAGATTTATTTTTAAACCCCCACATGGGGACATGTGCATTTGTTTTTTTTTTAATGTATTCAACACCCATCGTGTGCCATTCCACCCTGCACTTAAAGGGTTAAACCTTGTTTTTTCCATTACGTCAGTAAGAACCACTTAATTATGCTCTTCCAGCCACTCRTTACACCATTCAAATGAAAGAAAAGCTGTTTTTTATTGTATATGTTTCTGATATAAGAGTATAAGTTCCAGTAAGTGTTTGTGATAACTTAGATAAGCAAGCTGAGAGATTATGAATATTAAAAACTGCCACATATGACAGTTTACACAGCATCAATTTATAAGATTCTATAATGATCTGCAAACACAAAAGTAGCAGCAGCCAGCTGTGTCTACATTGATAATTTCTAAACATTTGAAGTGGTCTGTCGTGAAAATTAAAATGCKTTCTTTCAAACAAACCATTGTTTTTTGTATTAAGGTTTTAGTTTTGTTTCTGCTGCACTGATGTGATTCTTTAAAAACGAGCTGTTAACGCGACATGGATTTTCTGTCTTTGAAGCAGGACTGCAGCCACACAGAAAAGCGTCATTATTTACAAAAWTCTGAATTATTCAAAGCCTCACCACTGATTTGATTGGAAATTAATTCAGTCAATTTTGCATCATTTGATGGTTCCCCCATTAGATGCTGATACAAATGGACACTCTCCAGCGGCCAATTTAAATTATCACAACATTTTATACCAAACTGAATTATTTTTTTTATTTTATCCTTGCTACTCCAAACCCCTAAATTTACKCAACGTTTGTTTTAAATTTTCTGCTCCTTCTGATCCATCTCAACCCAACACTGGGTTTACTTTGTGTCTTGGTTACTTCTACAAAGAAATAACAGCTCTCTGAAAGTTAGCGCGATTCCTCACATGGCACAAATAATGAAAAACAGACCAGATCAATACACTGTGTTCTGGCTTTTCTTCTCCTCCGGTTTAATTACAGCACCTCACTCCAGCCCTGCCTTTGGGTCTGTGGGATTTTAGTCAGCTCCTATCAATTAAGTCWTGCCAGCTCATTTGGAAGTGATTGAAGCTGACATCCTTAGTGATTTGCCCTTTATCTCCCACAAGTTAAAAAAAACAACAACTGCTGCAATGCCAGATGAAAGTGAAAGGGTTTAAAGAGATAACTATTTGTCAACTGAGGAGACAGAGGAACTTTATAAAGTCTATGCCCTCTTATGGGATGTTTTTATTGGTCAGACAAAGGTTAAATGGAAGCTGTTGTTGTCTAACAGCTCTGTAAAAAAATGCTTTGATACTTATCACTCAATTCACTCTGCATCCTGAGAGCAGATGTTCTCTTTTAACAAATTTGAAACATATTGACCTACTGCGTAATATAATGATGGTGTCTTTAAAAATAAATACTTAGCCTAAATGGTTTAAAGTTGTGAATGTTAACTTTCAGCTGTACCTTCTGTAAAGTTTTCATAATTTCTGGAGTCTGTCTGTTTCCTTTCAGCTCCACTGACTGCGATAATAATCTTTGTTGTAAAAATGACCACTTGAAGCCAAACTAGTGCCTTCGACTCTGAAAGTTGTGGTAACTTTTATTCTTTTTGTCTTTAATTTACTCAGCAATTTTTGCCTTCAGAGAGATTATAATTCACTTTTGTATTATTTACTTGTTTCCTTTTGTGTTGCGGTGGAGCTTATTTAGCAACACCCACTGTTCAGGCTGATCACATGAAATGACAAAACAAGTTAAGTGGTTTGTTCTTTTTATGATGTGTTTTTGGATTTGTTTTTGTACGTCATGTGCATCACCGTGGGGTACAATAAACATGAAAAAAAATTGTACCTGAAATGGTTTGACATTTACACACAATTTGTAGGGCCAAAGCTGCTCACAACAAAACTGATCTGAATAAATGTGTAATATTACAATATTATTATATTATAT